AAATTGTCCAAGGTATCCTGTAAGGGTCCTTGCAGGTCAACCTCTTTTGGCCCTGTGATAGACACTACGCCGTCATCTGCAAGTTGTCTCAACGTGCAATTGTCACTAAGACAATTGTCAATTTCTCTAACGTAGAAATTGTACAAAAGGGGGCGTAAACATGAGCCTTGGGGGAGACCCATGTAGCTAAATCGAAAAGCTGTAGAGTTTCCATGAGAAAAGCTCATATGTTTTTCTGACAGCAAATTGTACAAAAAATTATTCATTAATGGAGACAATCCACAAGCGTGGAGTTTCTCTGAAAGAACTTCAACGGATACTGAATTAAAAGCCCCCTTGATATCCAAGAACACAGAAGCCATTTGCTCTTTCTTAGCAAAAGCCAACTGAATTTCCGAGGAAAGCAACGCGAGACAGTCGTTCGTTCCCTTGCCCCTACGGAAACCAAATTGAGTATCTGAAAGAAGGTGGTTCGTCTCAACCCATTTGTCGAGGCGAAAAAGGATCATTTTCTCCATCAATTTCCGAATACACGACAGCATCGCGATGGACCGATACGAATTGTGATCCGACGCGGCTTTATCAGGCTTTTTAATGGCTATCACCCTCACTCGTCTCCAATCGTCGGGAACAATATTGAGCTCCAAGAACTGGTTGTACAAGTTCAACATGCGCCTCTTAGCGACGTCTGGGAACACGATGAAGATATCAACTCTTTATTGCCGGTAAATGCTTTGTCTGAGCAAGACATAGCCCTAATAGAGTATGTTGTAGGCTGCGGACTTTATCAAGTTAATGATTTGACGAGCGTAAATGGGAGGCTTCTCGATCTGGCTTTCATCAATGAGGATAAGTGTGTTGAGGTACTGGAACCACCGTTGCCATTGCTGAAAATTGATCATCATCACAAGCCCTTCGTATTAAAATTTGAAACCACCAGAAAGTGCGATAGCTTGAATGCATCGGACCCCTTCAACTTTGATTTCAACCAATGTGATTTCGCATCGCTTAACGTATTAATTTCGGCCGTTCATTGGGCTGGGTGCCTTAATGGGTACAACATCAACGAAGCTGTTTCCAACTTTTATCAAGGAGTGTTCTCAATTGTTCAGGATGTAGTACCGATAAAGCAAAGACGCCGCTTTTTCGGGAGAAGACAGCCTTGGTGGAACAACGAGCTGCAGCATCTACGTAATCGTCAGGCCAGGAAACGTTATTTTCGTTCGAGGGACGAACAGCACCAAACTGAACTGCGTGTATTGGAGAGCGATGAAAACTCTTTGCTTGCGCGATACTTCATTCATCGCACGGAAGAAAACATCAAAAACGATCCTAAATCGTTTTGGTCGTTCATGTGAAGTCAAAAGCAGACGGATGCAATTCCTCAGCATGTTTTTTATAACGAGTTTACGACCGAAACCCCGCTTGATTCGGCAAATTTGTTCTCGTCATTCTTTCGGGGTGTGCTAAGTAATAACCGATCACCTCCGTCTGAAGTGTACTTGGACAGTTTGCCTCGGTATGATTTGAACGTAGCGCTTCTCGACTTTTCTCCGGAAAATGTGCTCAGCAAACTCCAATGGGTTGACGAATCCAAAGGCGCCGGACCAGATCGTCTTTCACCACTGTTTATCAAGAACTGCGCCGTTTCGCTTTCCGTACCCGCCACAATTCTTTTTAATCGTTCCATGGCGGAAGGCGTTTTCCGAGTGCTTGGAAAACTGCTGCCATTACTCCCGTACATAAAGCTGGTAGTATCGACAACGTAGAGAATTACCGTGGCATATCAATTTTGAGCTGCTTGCCAAAGATTTTTGAAAGCCTCGTCATCGATTCATTTTATCCACACGTTCATCATATTATTTCCGAATTCCAGCACGGATTCGTGAAAAAACGCTCTACCACTACCAACCTGATGGCATATGTTTCCTCGTTGGTCAACGCACTGGAAATGAGACAACAAATCGATGCCATCTATATCGATTGCTCTAAAGCATTCGATAGAGTGCCGCATTCTTTGGCGGTGGACAAATTGGGCAGAATGGGCCTACCCGCCTGGTTGACTCGCTGGATATTTTCCTACCTACACACTTAATCTAGCTCGGTAAAATCTCCAACAGCCGATTGCCTCGGCATTTGCTTTTGCTGATATCTCTGTAAAATATCTTTTTGATAGCTGATATCTCAGCAAAATGTTATTTGTTAGTTGAGTCTCGGCAATTGTTTTACTGAATCTCAGCAAAATAAATTGCAGAATCACTCAGCTGTTGGAATCTCGGCGAAAAAAATAAGTGTGTAACTGAGCGCAGTGCCTACGTTCGCCTTGATGGAACGAGCTCTGACCCATTCGATATCACATCTGGTATGCCTCAAGGGAGCCATTTGGGCCCACTTCTTTTTGTGCTATTCGTCAACGATTAAATCTCCGAAGATAATGTTTGCCGATGATTTGAAGTTCTTTCGGGTAGTTTCATCGTAAGTTGATTGCTGTGCCATACAAGCTGACATCGACGCGTTACTATACTGGTGCAGGCTAAACGGAATGGATGTAAATGCCCGAAAATGTAATGTAATTTCTTTCTATAGAACAAGGATGGCGACCATTTTCGATTATAGATTGTTGACAACTAGTATCGACAGAGTAAGCACTGTTAAAGATCTGGGTGTACTACTTGACAGTAAGCTGAGGTTTACCGAACACATAGCTGCAACGACCGCCAAGGCGTACGCAGTGCTTGGATTCATCAAATGAAACACGCAGCAGTTTGAAGACATTCATTGCTTGACAAGTATCTCCTGCGCGCTGGTATGCAGCATACTTGAATATGGAGTGCTGGTGTGGGCGCCATACCATGTCGTTCAGATTAACCGGATCGAGCGTATTCAAAGGAACTTACTTCGATTTGCACTTCGTTTACTTCCGTGGAATGATCCGGTTCGATTACCAACCTACGAGCATCGCTGCGCCTTGATACATCTACCGACCTTGGCTAGTAGGAGGATCCTGTTGCAGCGGCTTTTTATATTCGACATCCTGAAGAGCAACGTTGACTGCTCAGTACTGCTGAGCAATATAATTTTTTTTTTTTTTAATTCTTTATTTAAGAGATTTTTAGCCTTAGGCTAGTTCATCTCTAGGCAATATAAATGTAAATATTCCGGCCAGAACGATTCAGCGTGCAGATTTTCTCCGCCTTCCTGTGCACCGCACTCTTTATGGACAGAACAATCCTTCTGATGTTTGTTGTCGTCGTTTTAAATCAATAGGATTAGTGAATAGCAATATCTGTCTGTACGATCAGTTTGAAGACTAGTAATAGAATTAAAAAAAAAAATTAAGAACACAAAAATCAGCTCTTACAAAAAACATAAAAAATAAACTGTAAAGTGCAGCAAACAGGGAGATTAAATTGTATAAGCAACGATGTTGCACCAGTGCCTGAAATTTCTGCTCTATAAAACTTAAGTGATAGGGCATATCACGCCATTTTTTGGACTCTTCATGGAATCACCTTAAGATGAGAAACAATTATGTCATTGAAATTACCTATCCTTCTGCTTCTTCCTCTTCTGCATTTATAAGCTTTATAACATCCCTACTGTGATTTATGAGCTCTTCCACAGTTGTTTATTGAAAGTTTTCTAAGCTAGTACGATGTTTGCATAAGTATAATTGTATAATTTAAGAATTCCATGTAAGAGCAAAGTGTCAGCCTTGGTCAAAAATATACGATTTTTCAACGAATTTACATCTCTAACGCTAGGCTTTACATTTAATTATCGTCAGATTATCCAGAAATTTTGCATTTGGGGCTTAAATCTATCTCGTAAGTATAATGTTTCAGTTGGGAACTAATAACCAAGACGAAAAAGAAAGCACATGTTTAGTGTATTGCCACTCACTGGTCTAGTCTTGGTCAACACTTAAGTTAGTTTATTTTTTTCTGAAATAACATTGCTCGATAACTTATCAAGCAACATTCGTTTTCTCGAACTGCAACATCTTTTCCTACGGGAATATGGCCTTTCCCTGTACTACCAGATAGCCTCTAAAATTTATGCCACCTCTGACATGATGCTACGCGAATGGTTTACTCTTTCTCCCAGGAGGCTGCAACCTATATTAAGGATAGGGCATTCCAACTCACGTTCAGCTTGGTTCAGCTGCTGGCAGAAATGTGTGAACACCCTCCACCCACTGTTCTTTCATCCTTAGTTTGCCGGTTGACCGTGTGAACCAGGGATAGCAAACGAACTCCAAGGATCCAACAGAATGAGAAATGGCGAGCGAGAAAAGGTGTTGGAAAATTTATTTTAATGGGAAATCATGCGAAGCGTGAAAAAAGAACGGATGTATCTTTTCGGAGTTTGTTGAACAGGATAAAGGACAGCAGGGCACCACCTGTGCAAGCTGAGAGGTATGTTTGAGGATGGTCATTTCCTCCGTGTTCTTTTTGTTCATAATTTTCTGCTGCGTTGGCGTGACTCAACTAGGAACAGTCTCTTTTTTTTTGTTTAAATCTGTGGTTCGGATGTTCCGATATGGTTGATGATCGTACGTCCTACGCACGTTTGCCCTTTCCTATCCCCAGCGTTGGTGGCTAATTAGAGAGTACAGACCTGGTACGGTGAGAAGGGAGATATCAGGGTTCCCTGCGACAATAATTGGTGAAAAGGTGTTTGCTTCAACCGAGATTTCACCTTCCAAAGCATCCGATGCGTCTGCCAGAATCAGTGAGAGAATCTGCTGGTTGATGCACAAGGCTTTAGAAGCGAGGAACAGATAAAAAGCGTCGAGCTAATTATGAAACATGCTGCGATGATAATTAAAACTTTTATGATTTGCACGAACGCGAACAACACGCAGTTCTAGTACGCACCAGCAACAGATTCTACCCACAACGCAGTGACCATGGTCTGCCTAAAACGAAAATTTATTAAATTTTTAATTAACTAGCTGACGATGTTTCTCTTTATTCTATATTTTTTTCCTTCAACAGCTACGATGTCCGAGGGAGGCAATACGCGACAGCGCTTTATTGGTCGGACGCGGCGGCGTTCGGACCACGGGCATATTTTGTGACGGTGTCAAAACCAGCAGCGCTTAATGTGGAGAATATTCAGCTGGATGATGAAGGGGTGAGTTCCTTATTATCTTTGATAAAGCTTTGATTAAGAATCACTACGTTGGGTAATCTATATTTAAAGATAGTAATTGTAGAGCAACAAAAGGATAACATTCGTGTAAACAACAAACGCAGCAACATTTTTAGGATTCCTCACTGGGGAAGTATAATTCACAACAGGGAAAAAAAGCTATAGTTCTTGAAACTTATGTGAAAACATATGAGGTTCAACACATTAGACCAGTAGATTCAAAATTATGTTAAATTAACCTACAGAATGGACATCACAATTAACAAAATTTAAAATGGTTACCTCTCCCTTCATAGGTCTATCGCTGTCGAGTGGATTTCCAAAACTCACCAACACGCAACCATCGGATAAATCTTACTGTAACAGGTACGTTGAATTGATTGTTATTTGAAGTTGCTTACATCATTTCATTAGCTGTACAATAGTCAAAACACGGCAGGCATAATAACACTGCATATTAATCTCATTGAGGTGACAAGAAAATTTTTCATGTAAAACCTCTAATTAAAAAAGCAACCCACCTTTAACACAAAAACAAATGATGAACAAGATGTTTCCTCATTAAAAAAGTTTCGCTCTTCAATCCTAATGATGGCATGCAAGAATCTGAATCCGGACTATGACGAGAAGGAGCTTTTGATGTTACAAAGCCGCTGTGTGTTCCTTCTTCTCTCTGTTCAACACTTGTTGGTAAAATCCCCAAAGACTAACGATGAATAGTTGCGGGAGGGAAGGTAGGGGCAAAAAGGAATCGACTTCGATGTAATCAACGGATTGGGCTGAATCGTGTTGAGAAATTTCTCGGAAGATTTTACAACTTTTTGTCTAATGACCACTCCTTCCCGTATCTTCGGAAACCATCGTCGAAAAGCAGCTAAATGGTTCCGCTTAACCGCCAATCTCTGTGAGCCCTTTTTGCTTAGCAATCACTGCACCACGGTTGTCTAACAAATAAAAGCATTTACAGTTAATGCATAATAGCTTGGTGGAAAACTTCTTGATTATCTTCCGGAATATTCAAAAAGGGTAAAAACGGTCCGCTTGATGAGACCCTATCTTATATTATTCATTATTTTTAAAGTGCCCGATACTTGTTCTTTTTTAGACCATGTTAACCACATCAAGTTTTTGATGCCATGTTCAGACTGGAGAGTTGTAACTTGTTATAAGTGGCTTTTGTGATACAACAAAAATGGCTTTAGGACAGTACCCCTATAGCTTTTGGAATGTAACTACATCAAACATGTAGATTTACAAGCTCGCCATGTACGTTTACATATTTATTTATTTGTCGTCAATCAGTGTAGACCGTTTAACTATAGTGCTGTTACCTTACATGCTATTTTAAAACATACGTTTTATTTGAAATTGTCAGTAAATGTAGACTGCATATACAAATATCTAAAAAATAAAAATTGTTTTAAACTTAACGAGATGAAATCCTAGCAGTTAGTGTTCTCCTTACTGTATCTTTAGACATCGTTAGATCTATACGCTCACAATTATTATTATACACTCTCATCATTCTATTAATTGGTCCATTTTTACCATAATTCGTTCTGTGAGGTGACAGTTGAAATACATTTCGAGTTCTTAACATGCGTGATGGTACGTAAAAATTTAATCTTGCTAATATTTTTTCTGAATTTACGCGTTGTGAGATAATATCATTGACAAAGGAAATCATGGAAATTTCTCTTCGTCTCTTAAGTGTTTCAATGTTTATCAACATGCAACGGGACTCATAAGAAGGAAGGGGAAAAGAGGTCGAGCCTAGTTTCCTAAGAGCAAATAACAAAAACTGTTTTTGAACTGATTCCATACGATTTATATAAGTTTCATGGTATGGAGCCCAAACCACACTGCAATATTCGAGAATTGATCTCACGTAAGCTATATCAAGTGTTTTGATGGTATATGGGTCTTTAAAATGATAACTAAATCTTTTTATGAATCCCAACATATTATTTGCTTTGTGAATTGTGGTATTCACATGATCTACAAATGTCAACTTCGAGTCAAGAATTACTCCTAAGTCCCTAATTTTATCGCACCTTACAACCAGCTGGTTTCCTAGAGTACATGTAAAATCTAGAGTAGTGTTTTTCCTGGAATATGATATAATATTGCATTTTTTAACATTAATATCCAGCAGACTTTTAACGCACCAGTTGTAGAAAACATCAATTTCATTTTTTAAATGTAGCAAATCAGAATTGTCAAAGATTTCCATGTACAGTTTCATATCGTCAGCATATATGAGCACATTTAAACGATGTAACACAAACTTCACGTCATCCACAAATAAAATAAATAATAAAGGACCTAAATGAGATCCCTGTGGAACTCCCGAGGTAACATTAACTGGCAAAGATATTTTTCCTTTAAAGCGGACCATCTGTGTTCTTTCTGTCAAGTATGATCCAATCCATTTTAAAAGTGTACTTGTCATACCTAAACGTTTTAATTTAAAAAGAAGTAAGGGAATGTCTACTCTGTCAAAGGCCTTACTAAAGTCAGTGTATAAGGTTTCAACGGTATTACCTCTATCCATTGCTTCAATAGAAAAGTTTACAAATTCCAACAGATTAGTAGACGTTGACCGACCTTTAAAAAAACCATGTTGATTATTTGAAATGCGATGCTTAACCTGGTTAAATATTTTCTGGTTAACAATTGCTTCAAACATATTAGGAATGCATGACATAATTGCAATACCTCTATAGTTTTTAATATCTGACCGTTTGCCAGATTTAAATATTGGAACTAAAAATGATTTCTTCCAAATTTTTGGAAAATCACCTGTTTTGAGAGATATATTGTAAAGCCAAAACAATGGTTTAACAAAACTTGTTGCTATTTTTTCAATAAAAATGGAGGTATTTCATCAGGACCAGGTCCTTTGCCGGCATCGAGACTTTCAAGAGTCATAAAAATTTCTTTAACAGTGATATTATTAACTGATACGTCATTTTCCTCTTCATGTAGGTAAGAAAAATAGTTCAAATCGAGAGCATTACTGGATTTCTTATATGTGTTTTGGAAAAAAACGAGCAAATAGGTTACAAATATCCTCACTATCAGTGCTATCACACTCTTCAAACTGCATGCGTGATGGGAATGTACATGACTTCATTTTTTCGTTCGCGAAGTTAAAGAACGTTTTGGGATCAGATTTTATATTGTTCTCTACTCTTGAATTGTAATTCTCATATGCTGACGATATTTCTACCTCAAGTGCTCCGCAAATTTCAACGTATTTTTCTAAATGTTGTGACGTTTTAAACTTTTTATACGCCTTGTGTGCTTTTTGCTTCCTGTTTTTAATATTTCTGATTTCTTGTGTATACCACACAGGATATTTGGTGCTATTCATTATTTTCTTTAGTCTTTTGGGAACGAATACTTCAATGATATTGAATAAGGTAGTATAAAATATGTCAACAGCCTTGTCCATGTTGTTTTCATCTTTCAAAAGGTTTTGCCAATTTAAGTTATTAGCATTAGCATTAGCATTATTGACCGCCCACGGTTGCTACTCTGTTATTGCCAGATCAGCTGCAATTACACAGAGAACCAACAGATGATGTTTGGGACTAACATTCATCCTCAATGTGTAAAAGCTGAAGATCTAATATTTAGCAATACCAGCGCCGGCCGTGTCCGAATGCAGGTCCAATAGGGAATGAGAAGGAATGTGTTGACGTGATACTCGCTGTGAAGGAAACCGAGAAATCCTCTGCGCTTCCACGAGAAATCACTGGGATGTTGGATGTGGGGAAAGGTTTGCAGCAGCAGGGATCGTTTTTGGTAAACTAATGCTGATTGTAGTGATTTATGATAGGTACACAAACACAAAAACACACACACGCACACACACGCACTCGTGAGTATAAACAGAATATAAAATGATATTTAACTGAACTTTAACTTAACTTAAATTTTAACTTAACTTTAACTTAACTTTAACTTACCTTTAACTTAACTTTAACTTAACTTTAACTTAATTTTAACTTAACTTTAATTTAACTTTAACTTTACTTTAGTTAACTTTAACTTAACTTTAACTTAACTTTAACTTAACTTTAACTTAACTTTAACTTTACTTTAACTTAACTTTAACTTAACGTTAACTTAACTTTAACTTAACTTTAACTTAACTTTAACTTAACTTTAACTTGACTTTAACTTAACTTTAACTTAACTTTAACTTAACTTTAACTTAACTTTAACTTAACTTTAACTTAACTTTAACTTAACTTTAACTTAACTTTAACATAACTTTAACATAACTTTAACTTAACTTTAACTTAACTTTACCTGAACTTTAACTTAACTTTAACTTAACCTTAACTTAACTTTAGCTTAACTTTAACTTAACTTTAACTTAACTTAACTTTAATTTAACTTTAACTTAACTTAAACTTAACTTAAACTTCACTTTAACTTAACTTTAACTTAACTTTAACTTAACTTTAACTTAACTTTAACTTAACTTTAACTTAACTTTAACTTAACCTTAACTTAACTTTAACTTAACTTTAACTTAACTTTAACTTAACTTTAACTTAACTTTAACTTAACTTTAACTTAACTTTAACTTAACTTTAACTTAACTTTAACTTAACTTTAACTTAACTTTAACTTAACTTTAACTTAACTTTAACTTAACTTTAACTTAACTTTAACTTAACTTTAACTTAACTTTAACTTAACTTTAACTTAACTTTAACTTAACTTTAACTTAACTTTAACTTAACTTTAACTTAACTTTAACTTAACTTTAACTTAACTTTAACTTAACTTTAACTTAACTTTAACTTAACTTTAACTTAACTTTAACTTAACTTTAACTTAACTTTAACTTAACTTTAACTTAACTTTAACTTAACTTTAACTTAACTTTAACTTAACTTTAACTTAACTTTAACTTAACTTTAACTAAACTTTAACTTAACTTTAACTTAACTTTAACTTAACTTTAACTTAACTTTAACTTAACTTTAACTTAACTTTAACTTTACTTTAACTTAACTTTAACTTTACTTAAACTTAACTTTAACTTAACTTTAATTTAACTTTAACTTAACTTTAACTTAACTTTAACTTAACTTTAACTTAACTTTAACTTAACTTTAACTTAACTTTAACTTAACTTTAACTTAACTTTAACTTAACTTTAACTTAACTTTAACTTAACTTCAATTTTAGTTTAACTTTACATTAACTTTACTTTAACTTCTGTAGGCTAGTTCATCTCTAAGCTGAAAAAGTGAATATTTATAATATAAAATAAATGCAAAGTTCAATAATATAAATTAATTATTATAATATAATCCTAGAGGTGTTTCATCATCGAAGAGCTG